ATTTTATCATGTTTAAATTGCAATTAATGTGCATTAACTTTTTTATATAAATTAATAACAAATCTAAATGAAATAAAAAACTTACAATAAGATGGATGTTTTATTCTTAATTTTATTGAATAAAATCATATTTTTGTGTAGTTTTACTTTTTCATGTTATAATTGGATCTTTTATAACAGTGAATCGTAAAACATTATTTATTATTCATTTTTTCCCTCTTTTGAAAACCTTTACTGTAATTAACTTTGTATAAAACCCTTTAACGATGATAAATTTAAAAACATTTAATTTCAGAGCATCTTTAACAGCTTCCACCTGCAGGATGTTTTAACCCATTCCTCGCAGTTGTTTTGGAGTAAACTGGTATTTCTGGTTGATTTACAGAGTTTTTAGCGGACAGAAGAGCCCACCTTGTCCAGGCAGCTGACTTTCTCCGTGGGGTAGACGATCTTCCCACAGCGGGCACAATGAGGGTTCATCCTCCGCTCCTCCTCTGCTCCCCACGGCTTCAAAAAATCCCGCTCGTCGCTCAGAAAATGTCCAAGAAAAGCTTCAAAATGTCAAATAAAAGATTTAAAATGTCTCCTGGATCAGAGAAAACCCTGCGATGCTGCAAACGGAGTGAAATCACGGACAGTTCGATGGTTTGTGATCCTGAGCGGAGCTCCGTCCGGTCTGAGGCTGGAAGCTGCGGAGCAAAAACATCAACAATCGACAGCATCAAGCTAGCGGAGCTAACCGGAAACAAGGTGGGCTAGCACTTCCGGTCAAAAATAAAGCACATTTCTACCACTTCGATTAAAAACACAGATTACAAGTACTAATAAAAATATGATCTAACGAGTTAGTGTCTACAGTTTGTCTAAATTAAAACTTATCTCAAAATCATGACAAAATATCTAACAGARGAGCAGCTGAAATGCTAAAGCTAAATGTTAATTTAAGAGATTAGCTGAAATGCTAAAGCTAAATGTTAATTTAAGAGAGAAGCAGAAACACYAAAGCTAAATGCTAATTTAAGAGAATAGCTGAAATGCTACAGCTAAATGCTAATTTAATACAATAGCCGATATTCTAAACCTAAAGGCTAAATTAAGAGAGAAGCTGAAATGCAAAAGCTAAATGCTATTTAAAGAGAGCAGCTGAAATGCTAAAGCTAAATGCTAATTTAAGAGATTAGCTGAAATGCTAAAGCTAAATGTTATTTTAAGAGAGAAGCAGAGACACTAAAGCTAAATGCTAATTTAATACAATAGCCGAAATTCTAAAGCTAAAGCCTATAAAATAAGAGAGAAGCTGAAGGTTATATCTGTGCTTGATAAGAACCAGACGTGTAATGCTCAGACACTTTTATTAAAGCATCTTTCCACAGGTCTGCTCACCTGTTTGCTCACAGGTGTGTCACATAAGAATCTCCTTCTATTGTTCTGTTCTTTACATTTATACATTCACATGAACTCATGCTCGCCACCTAGTGGACATAAACATAATTCATTCAATCRTGACATCCTCCTTTCTTTAAAGTAAGATTGTTACAAAAAGATTCCTATCAAAGAACAACGTACATTGCATGAGACAGTTACCACATAGCTATACTAAACACATTAAAAACATCAATCACAAAATAAACATTTCAACTCTTTTTTTCCTTTTCCAGTTTTTCTTTTCTTTTTTTTTTACAAGTTAAGACTGTCAGGTTTTTTCACCACTCTGGTAGATCTTCTTAACACAAGTGGGTTGTCCCCAACACTGTCACAGGGTGTTTCAGTCGTAAGAATAATCTGGGAGTCCTTAGAAACTTCCCTTGACTCATCAACAGGCTCTAATGGAGTTTTTAACAAACTGCGCCAATTTCATCTCAGAACTTGTCCATCTTCAGTTTTTACTTCAAATGAACGTGGAGCTACTTCCTGCAGAATAGTTGCTTTAGTATTCCATCCCTCATCGTCCTGAATCCTTACAGGATCCTTGTATGACAGTGGAGGTAGAATCTTAGTTGATCTATCATTATATGACTTTTGTTTTACTTTCTACTTTTGTAACTTGTACTCCAACTTTGATGATTTCTTTGCACTTTGTTCATTWCTGTCATAACTTGGCAAAGTTGTACGAATCTTTCGATTCATCAAGAGTTCAACAGGTGGAAATCCACATTGCAAAGGTGAAGATCTGTAGCTTAATAAAGCTAAATATGGGTCAGAGTTACTATCTGCAGCTTTCTTCAGAAGTTGCTGAAGAATATGAACTTCTTTCTCAGCTTTTCCATTCGACTGTGCGTCATGTGGACTTGATGTTACATGTTTAAAATCATAMTGTTCTGTAAACTCTTGCCATTCTCTGCTACTAAAACATGGTCCATTGTCACTAACCACAATATGTGGAATGCCATGTCTTGCAAAGATTGATTTAGCATGTGTTATGACACAGTTTGATGACATATTAGCTAATAGAGCCATTTCAGGATAGTTTGAAAAGTAATCAATGATTACTAAGTAGTTTTTTTCCTTTAAGATGAAACAAATCCAGTCATACTTTCAGCCATGGTGATGTTGGAATGTCAGTCATTATCATTGGTTCTTTACTCTGTTTATTTCTAAATGTCTGACATGTT